AATGCACATGTAGCTCTTGTAGGATACTCCATACTTGATTAAAACTCACTAAAAACTTCTAAAAAGATGACCAAAGGGTGACTAAGGCTGCTTGGTCAAAATCATCCATGCTTAGTGTCATTAGAAGCTCTTTGAATTAACTTTTACACATATATCACTCTAGAGTCTTCTTGTTTTATAGTTTGTCTTATATTCCCATCTCTTGGCCATTTAATTTTTATCTAAATCCTTGTTTACACCTGTAATTATATATATAAGAGTGATCAAAGCATGTGTGAAAAATTTTAAATCAAACTCAAAGCCAATTGCAAGATGCAATGCCATTTCCAAACTCTTAAGTTATAAAACATGACAACATAGTATTAATGTCTTTGTTTGGAATATCTTATAACTTATGTCTTTTGATATCTCTTTGCAATCTAAAATGAGTTTGAATTTCAAACTGTCAAACTTGTTTCATTGATCTTAGGAAGATAAAAGAAACAAACTAAGTTAATGTCCTTAAATTATTAAATGACCAAAATATCTTTAGGCTATGAATGAACCCTAATTAATTCTAAGCCTATAAATGCTTAAATATGCAAGAATTGAGGTCCCAAGGATGCAATAATGTAAGAAAATCATCATAAAATATATAAAAATAATGCAATATGTTAAAAACTTTGACTAAGCTTCTCAATATCCTACAGAACCCTTTTTAATAAAAGTGCAGATTACATTTGATAACTAGGGAGTATAGAGAGGACAAACTTGATGAGAATAGTTCTACCTACAATGGTTAGAAATTTTCTTTTCCACAAAGATAGACGTTTACTAACTTTTAGCACAATAAGATCAAATGTTGATTTAGAAACTCTCAAGTGAATCACAAGAACCCCAATTACTTGCCCAATCCGCCCATAACACCAATCTCAAATACTTGACTTAATTCTAACTTTTTGTTGAAATGCACATTCTTCGAGCATAACATTTTAGATTTGTCAAGATTAATGCAATGGCTCAACACAGCACAAAAGCTTTGCATGATCCTCTTTATCTCTTCCATTCAATCCACAAAAGCCTTCGTAAAGAGAATAAGAATATCAGCAGAAAAACATATGAGTAATACTAGGTCCCCTTAAATGGAAGCTAACAGTTTTCCAATAATTTTCTACACACTCAACTTTAATAAGGTAACCTAACCTTTCCATATAAAGGACAAAGATATAAGGTCTCAAGGAATTACCTTACCTAATTCCCTTAGAAGGTAAAAGCTCCAGACTACTATTTGAGTTTCACAAGACTCTCATGGATGCCATGGTAATACACTTTATAATGAGATTGATAAAATGTGCATCAAGACCAATTAGTTCCAAAGTGGTTTGAATAAAGCTCCAATCTAATCTATCATAAGCTTTTCTATATCAACCTTAAATGCCTCAAAACCTTTCTCTTTTACTCATTTTCATTATGTGAATTGCTTTTTGTGAGATAATAATGTTGTCATAACTTGATCGACTAGCAATGAAACTACATCATTCTTGCCCCACTCATTGGTTCATCACCTTCTTAATTGGTCAACCAATAATTTAGTAATTTTAAAGCACACATTACATAGAGAAATTGGTATAAACTCTTTAAAAGAAGTAAGGCTAACAAGTTTAGGACTTAGGACAATATTGATTTGATTGATGTTTTTGATTGCACAAGGTTCAACAAAGAAAGCATTAAAAAATCCCAAACTTTAGTATCCATCAAGTCCCACTAGGTTTGAAAGAAATAAGCTTAAAGGCAATTCACCTGGCACTTTAAAGACCCCTATAGAGAAATCTACATTCTTGACTTTAGTAAGGTTCGCCATCCTTTGGATCCAAGAGAAATTAGATTGCTCAATCAAAGGGAAGTTCAAAAACTAAACTACATTCCTGTTAATGGAGGGATCTTTAATATAGAGATCTCTAAAAGAAGCACTCGCCAAGTCTTTTAGGATAACAAAATTAGAGACCTAGACCTCATTCTTAATCTTGATAATAGAGGGACCTTAGATTTGTAGCCATATCTTTTTTCACATATAATATTTTAATGGAATGGTCATTAATGTAATGATTATTGATAGAATGGAGTGGATGGATTAGAACAGAAGAAATATTCCATTGTTTCAGAGTCTTATTAGAATAATAAATAATTTTATTTAGTTATTATTTAAGAATAATTATAAAATTAATATATTTGAATTAGATATTAAGGTGATAAGGGTTGAAAGGGTGAGAGGGGGTGAAAAGGACAATATACTAGTACTATTTATATCATGCCATTCCTTTCTCAACTCCCAAATCAAGGTAATAAAATAATAAGTTTATAATGGTAAAAGATGACTTAAAAATAGAGCTAAAAGACGAGCGAGCCTAGCTCATATGAGCTTGGCCCTTACAGCCTCTAGTCTTCAAGTCCTATTTTAAAAAAAAAAAAACTTATTTTTTAAGTTTAATTTTTATTCAAAGGGCTTAGGGTTAGGTCCATTAATCCATTATTATTTTTTTATTTTTTGAATTTTTTAAAATACAAATTATAATGTTCAAAAATTTAAAATAAATAATAAAAATTCTAATTTTAAAATATAAATATATTTTAAAGTTTAAATTTAATTTAAAAATTAAAAATATTTCATCTTTTTAAAGGTACAATAAAAAATGGTTGCTTCTCGTTGTCCACCATGGTCTCAAGATTTGTCTGTAGAGACGCCTCAACAAGATTGTGATGCATTATGATTTCCTTGCATTCATTGAACCTCATTCACTGTGAGGGTCATTGTGATCATCTGCTTTATGATATGATTCAAAAATTCACGAGATCATCTACACCATCTGAGACTTCAAACTTCATTGTTCTCATTGAGAAGCATTAAAATATGTTGATTTACCAGCCAAAAATGTGCTTAGTTCTTCTTTCAATTTATCTAATTTTAATCATCATACTTCTGCATGTCATTAGCAATATGCTCAAGCAATGGGTTCTACCCATTAATTTATACTAGACTACCTCAAGCTTAGCTTCCCTTTCCAAATTTAAAAAGAAAAAAAGAACTTCAAAACTTGATTTCTCAAAAAAAGAAAAAGTAATTTTTTGTTAAAAGAAAATTTCTTAGTTTACCTAGAAAATCCACCCAAGCCATTCCATTCCATTTAAAAACAAAACTCCCAAATGTTGCCTAACATTATGTTTGGGAGATTTTTTTTAAAGGAAATGGAATGGAGTGAGATGGCTAAAAGATGTAAGCTACTATTTATGAGTTTTTTTTTAAAGAAGGATGGAATGGCACAAAAGGGCTTTTAAAGCCCTCCTTTGTCATCTACGGCTCAATATTTTTGGTCCCCCCAAATTGGGTGATCAAAGATAGAGTAACATAGTATAATTAATTTATTCACAAAATTACCCCCAATCTCATATCTTAATAAAAAAAAAATCTCATATGTTATTTTCACTCTCCAACCATTTCTCTCACTTCTTACTAAGATTGTACATAAGCAAGGTCGGGCTAGGCATCACTCGAACTCGATGCCCAGACCAATGTGCACTTAGGCATCAGGCTAGCCCGATTAACTTAAAAATATTTTTACAAGTATTTTTTTAAAAAATATAAAAAAAATTTTTCTTGAAAAATTATTATTATTATTATTATTATTATTTAAAATATATTTTTTATAAAAGTAATATTAGAATCAAAAGTAATTTTTTAAAAGTTCAAATGAACAACAATTATCAATTATTTTTACATAACAATAAGTTAAAAATAAATTTTAAATTTTGAAAGAGATTTAGAAAATCATAATGATAAAAAATGTCTAAAAAATTATAAAAATAATATAATTTATTACAACTTTCAATAAAAAAAAATGCCATAAGATAAATATTATTTACAAAAAATAAAAAAAACTTGCATATGTTCAAGCAAGGCAAGGTTTGAACCTGGACTGCTTTATGTGCCCAAATATTTCAAGCAAGGCGGGGCTAATTGGATATCCAAGTATAATGCATAGCTCTATCTCCCTCCATATCTCTCTTGCTCTTCCCATCTCTTTTCGTGGTGCCTTTCAACATTATGACTATTGTATTTTCCTCTCTTGCATCAAGAATGTTTGTTTAAATAGCTCTATTAGTTATTTTCTTTTTTTATTCTTAATTCTTAAATATCTTGTTTAACTATTAATTTTAATTTTAACTATTATTATTTATTACATAAATATTATAATTATTTAATGAACATTATTATTTTTTTAAATTTAGTCATATATGTAATATTAAAAAAATTTAAATTATCTTATTTCATTTATTTTATAATAATTCTCAAATAATAATAATATAAAATTATTTTTTTCATCACAAAACTCTCAACCAATAAAAAGTTTTATTCTTTCTCACTCCATTCCCTTGTATTCTATTCAATCATAAACTACTCCCAAGCGCACTCTAAGACCTCGTTTGGTATGATGGAAGAGTTTTTAATGAAATTGAAATCGGAATCGGAATCGGAATTGGAATCGGAATCAAAATCGAAATAGAATTGAGTTTTAAAAGTGTGTTTGGTATGAAAATAAAATTCTAATATAATATTAATTTATATATATATATATATATTTAAAATAAGAAAAGACTAAATTGCCCTTTTTTTTAAATTAAAAAGATCTATCTTGTTATAAATGAATAAAAAATATGAGGATAGTGGGATCCACAAATTAAATTCAAGAAAATTGAAGCAATTTCATAATCAATATGATATAATGAGATTCTAACATTTTTTGTGAAATTAAAATTTTTAAAAATTACAATTCTTACATATTTAAATTAAAATTTTATTTTTAATTTTATTTTCACGCCTAACTCCAAATTCTCAAATTGGCAAATCCCTCCCTCCACCTCCATCCCAAATCGCAGCCGCTGCACCTTCGCACTTCGACTTTGCACTCAAACTTCGCAGCACCTCAATCTTCGTCTTCACACTTGCGATCTCGCATCACAGCAGCTTCGCACTTCGACTTCCCTGTCTCTTTATTGCCTGTGCTCCCCTGGTTCCCAGGTTGCAGCGCGGCAGCAGCTCTCGCTCACGGTCGCAGCACCTCCGGCCTACGCTATCGGACTTGACCTCTCGTCCTCTCCATCCAGGTATAATTAATAATAATCAATTCCCTTATGGCATCCACACGTATAATGCCTTTTCCAACACACTCTCTCTCTCTAGGTCTTCTCTCCCTCAACCAAGCTCTCAGTTGTGCCTCTTGTTCATCAAATTGAAAACCTAATTGACTCTGTTATCTATCAACTACAGCCTTCGTTATCACTGTGGTGAGTTTTAAATTTTATTCACTTTTTTTAACAGAAAAATTTTATTCACTTTTAAAGTGAAATTTTATCAGCATATGACGGATTAGAACCATGTTTTCTGGTTACGCATACGATTAATTTCCCTTTTGGTAACTTTATTTATGCATATTAACAGACCATATATTGTCATGGAGAATGTGCGTGAAAAGCAGTGGATTGGGCTTGATGGGCAGATGTTCCATGAAATGATTTATCTTATATTGTTACCGTCTTAACTGGGTTTAAAATTGTAGCTCTATATCTTAGGAAAATTGTTTCTTAGGTTTTATTTCTTCGAAAGTCGTAGTTTTAGCAGTTCACACTATCAACATGTGGGCAATTGAAAGAGATGATAATGACTTGCTCTAATATATATCTATATACGAAGTTCATTAGCCATTGGCTGTACTTACAGGAAACAAAATTGAATCAGCTTAGTGGTGAAAAGAAGCGCTGAACGCTATCCTTATTTATGTTAATTTTTAAGCAACTGTTTGCTTATCATTTGATAGTTCTAATACATGTGTTATTTTACTAATTAATGTAATTGCAGCATTTTGCATGACAGTATTTCTGTTAAGACTTTCCACATGGTCAATCAACTCCCCAACTCATCTTTGTAGACTATCCTGTATTTTCCTTTCCTAGAAGTTCTTTGTTCCAAAATCTTTAATTATTTTAGTAAAAACGAAATTTTGTTGGTGACTGACTCCAATTCAATTGATTTTCAATTCTGATTTTTGAAATCAATTTTCGTGGGATGTTTGCATTTTAATGCATTTCCATTGTCTTTGGAGCTATTGTCCAAAAGATAGTATTCACATGCTCAATGTGGTGTGTTGGTCATGGTTTCATTTAGAAGTTTTGCTTACTTAGATTTGCCAAGAGATTGGGCTGTATTATTGCACTTTTGATTATTTTTGTTACCTATTTTTCTATGTATATGTTTTCCCTAGATTCTTATTGGAGGGTCTTATTCTCCTTTTCTATGGATCTCATCTTCCTTGATAAAAATATATATATTTTATCAAAGTTTTTTTTTTTAAGAGATGAAACTCTTTGGAAAGTCATGGCACCTTCAATCATTCTTGAGCTTGAAGGTCTGCTGGATGTAACGTACTATTCTTTGCAATGACTGCTTAGGTTCCAACAGCTGTGTCATATACTTGAAGAAACAGAAGTATAGCTGCTTTTATTTGAAAGAATCACTATTATCTAGAGAACATGAAAGTGGAAGAGGTTAATCGGTGCCAGATTCAGGAATGGTATCCAAAATTTAAATCAGTATCCATCAAAACCATAATCCATCAACTTCCAGAATCTTTCGTTGACTACCTTCTCAATGACTCTGGGCTCTTCTTGTTGCCAGTTTCTGTCTCAAATGAAGATCCCTTTCCCAATCGAATTCATAATCCTGATGAGGAAGATGATTATCAAGTTTCAGAAGGATCTGGTGATGAAGCAGAAGAACCTTCACCACCTCCTTCTTTTCCAGAACTTGAATTGAAAGTTAAGGAATCCATTGAATCCCTTGGAGGTGCAGTCTTCCCCAAGCTGAATTGGAGTGCACCGAAAGACTCTGCTTGGATAAGTACCAGTGGTACCCTCCAGTGCACCACTTTCGGTGAAATTGCACTCTTGCTCCGATCATCTGACTCATTGGTCCATGACTTGTGTCATGCTTATGATTCCAGTGATGATAAATCTTCATCTAGGCCCCAAAACTTCTTCCTTGCCCTTCGCAAGTGGTACCCATCCCTTCGGCCAGAGATGGAGTTTCGGTGTTTTGTTCGAGGGAAGAAACTAATTGGCATTTCGCAGCGTGAGGTGACTACTTTTTATCCTGCTTTGGTTGAAAAGAGGAATGATCTCCTCTTAGTCATGCAGGTTTTCTTCAACAATAATGTGAGAGCTGTATTTGAATCAGAACACTACGCATTTGATGTTTACATTACAAAGGATGAGAGGGTTAAGGTAGTGGATTTCAACCCATGGGGTGCTTTTACATTGCCATTGTTGTTTACATGGGAGGAACTTGAGCAGATTCTTAATGACGGAGATAATGTGGAGTTCAGGATTATTGAAGATCGTTGTGCTGTTAGGCCAGGGCTCAAGACAGCAGTTCCATATGATTACTTGGATACCAGCCCTGGAAGTGGTTGGGATCAATTTCTGAGGAATGCAGATGAAGAGTTGCAAAGACAATCTAGGCCCCGAGAAGCTGGTGCCTGAGAGGTAGATGTTTGGACTTGTCACTTGATTTTTAGATTTGAGTTGGCAAATAGAACTATAACACATGTGGGGACGATCTTTGTGGGTTGACTGCTATTTTGGTCGTTTGAGAGATACTTGTTTCATCTGTCTATCTTTTTTCAGATAATTACTATATTTATCATATTAGTCTGAAATTGTTGGAAAAGTTTTCTAATTTGGTCTTCTTCTGGGTTTTTTTAACCTGATAATAAAACCATCCCTCTCAACGTGTTTCTCAGTAAGTTTAGATTAATTTGTTAATAATTTTCTGATATTTCTAAGTTCTAAGTTTGTGTTTCCCTTTGGCATGGATTAATTAGCTTCTTGTTGCTTGCTGAAGTCTAGTTTGATTTGCTGTTGTGTGGTGTGATTTTTATAACATTTGAACTTGATCTTTTCAAGCTCGTGTACTCCTATCTACACTTGTGTAAGTATTTTTTTTCATGGTCGGATGAATATAAATGTAAAATTTGTATTTATCTGTTTAGATTTCTCACTTGATCTTTAGATTGAATTTGGCAAAGGGAACTATAAAAAGAAGCCATGTCTGTCTAACTTGGTCGTTTGAGAGATGCGTGTTTCATCTATCTAATTTTTATTAGTTAGTTACAATATTTTATCAAATATGTACAAGCTTGTTTGAAAAGTACATTCATGTGGTCTTCTTCTGGGGTTTTTTAATCTGATATTAATAGTCATCCGCTTAGACAGACCGCTCACCGTGGATGGCCTCATAACATACCTCTTGTAATTCAAAAAAAAATAATAATAATAAATAAATAAATAAATAAAGTCATCTCTGTAAACTAAACTCATGATAATATACAAATTGACGTATTTCTCAAAAAGTTTGGATTAATTTGTTAATGGTTATCTAATGTTTTCAAAGGATGTGTTTCCCTTTGACATGGACTAGTTAGCTGCTTGTTGCTCGCTGTAGTCTTGTCTTGACATTTTGCCTCTGTCTGGTATGATTTTTATCCCATTTAACTTGATCCTATCAAGCTTTTATACACTTGTGTATGGGTTTTTGCATGGTCTGTTGAATAGAAAATTTATACAATGAACTCTTTTTGTTCATGTAAAGATTGAAACTTCTTCTGTGTGAGAGGTCATCTATCTAATTTGAAGTTAAATGATACAATAAGAAGTATTTGCATGGATTCTAATGACAGGGGAAGCTAAACAAAGTTGTTCTCCATCATGACTTGTGAAAACTACACCCACAAGTTGCACATGCAAGAGAGAGAAAAAGAAGAGAAGCTTTTGTACAGAAATTAGGGAAAAAAGGATTGAAAATGAGTGGATAAAGTTAAGCAGTGTTGTCTGTGTTTTGTTCCAGTCCTTCTTAGGGCTCTCCTGCTCCTTCTCCTTTTTTATTCTTTTCATCTCTTCTTTCTTGCTCCTTTCCGCCCACTCTGCCTCTATCTGCGAACATACCTCTCAGTTTGTAACATCAGACCCATCAGATCAGAATTGTCGTGGGCTCATTTCAATTACATTTCAACAAAATTTAATACTGTTAGTAGAAATTTATCTTCAAAACTTTAATAAAAACGTTTACATTTTGTATTAGGCGGATTCTGCATTACCATTTTATTATTTTTATTTTGCCATGACACGTGGACATTATTAACTCCTTCAAAAGGATAAAATGGAAATTTGGATGGTGTTGAAAGACTTGATTTTAATTTATTAAATGAATTGAATAATCATGAACATAGTATAATAAAATAGGATAAAAATTCTTTTCCACTGTTTAATCACTATAAAATTGCTGTTCGCTTGAGTTTTCCCCCCCCCCCTAGGGAGAATGATAATAGAGTTTCAAAGAAGAGAATTTATCATGATTAGGTATTGAAATTTTTTTTAAAAAATTACATTGTAAATATTAATTTAAACAATTATAAATTGAGAGTTATATTTAAAATTTAAAGAAAAAATAACGATGAAGGATCGTTGGAGAAAATTTATATTAATTAAAAATTAATTATTATTAAAATTTAAAAAAAATGCTCGAAAGGATTTGTTTTAAAATAAATTATTAAAATTTAAATAAATATTTATTGATAAAAAATTAATTTAAATTAATAAGTATTCATTTAAAATTCTTGAACTTGCAATTGTTTAAATCAATGTTTACAAGACACTTCTCAAAATCACTTTATTATGAGCTTAACTATTATTAATTATCCCTTCAGTCTCAACCGTCATTCTCCCTTTTTTCTTTTATACCTGTAATTCTAGTTTGGTTTGTCAAACTAGATTTAAAACCGTGTAATTATTTAACATGCATGCACAAACTTAGGAGTGTATGAAATAATATCAGCAACAGTCACAAACATTTCTTAGAATATCTTGGACCACATATTTCTCCACCTCATCTAGTTGAGGCTATGTTTACATATTTTATCAGACTTAATTCTTTGACGTCAACCTACCTATCTTTTAAAGGTCACAGCCGAAAATTTTCTTCAGTCTCGAACTAAAAGCCCACAAGAAACTAACATGCCAACCAAATAGATATTTTGAAATCTCGAGAATGTCTGGCATAATTCTGTCACAAACTCTAAACCAGAACACACGCATGTCTGCATGTATAAATTACTCAAAACTGGAAGATGCGGTGTCATGCTAAATCCCAACATGACTAATACAACATTCACCTCTACAAGACATCTGTCAATTACAAAATGTGTATAGAGTAGCACAAAGAGATTGTGAATTATACAAACTGTGACAGATTTATTTCCTCAACCTATGATGTTTTGCAGCATGCCTAAGACTTCTTCGTGCGAAGGCTCATCATCCCTTGGGCTTGAAATGTCTGGGAAAAGAGTAGTTTTGTTTGGAACATTCTGTTGAAGATAAAAACAAGTGAAACTCTAGGGCTGAGAAGGAGTGGGAGATGTTGGAGGCTTGAAATCCGGATACTGCAATCCAAAAGGCAACAAAGATGTATATGAAATATGATAAAAGCATATGCAGATACTTGGACGTACGTACAGTAGAAACTAGAATAAATAACAAATTTTGAAAATTCCTTGCAGTATATGATATAGGACAGGAAGTAACAAAAATGTCACATGATTAATCAAATATTCCTATATCAGTAAATCAGTAAGTAGGTATTCTAATTCTATGACAGCTCTGTTTTATAGGTAATTCGAGTAAATATATATTGAGTAAATTACACAAACGTCCCCGGAATTTTGTTTTTAACTTTATAGATCTTTTGCTTAAAAAATTTTCAGAACCTACACTGAACTCTAATATTTTTCTAAAATTACACAAAGCTCCCTGGAGCTTTGTTATAATTACATAAACTTTGTCTATTTTAAAGCCTATAAGAATTTCCCTTAATAAAAGATCAAATTAAACAATCCTCCCCTATTTTTCAAAAATTTCACAAACTTCCTTTCTATTTTCAGTGGAAAAAATAGCTATATTTTGAACATACTGAAGATATCTATCAAATTCCAACAACATTGATGGGCAGTCTGTGTAATTTATTCTTTTCTGAGGGGAGGTCCTTATATATTTTCAAAAAGAACAGATTTTTGCGTAATTTTAGTAACACTCAAGAAGGTTTGTATTAGTTTTGAAAAAAGTCTGTAATTTTAACAAAACTCGAGAGGTATGAATAATGTACTCAAAATACTTTGATGGTATGGCTGTCAAACTTCAGCTGATTTATGTCTCCTTAAACATTGAACTCCACATCCTCAGCTTATTATTTGTTATATAGTCCAACAACAAAATTCAAGTTTCAGCACTCATAACCAGACTGGGAACAAATTCTATTATGAAAAGATATGAGCCAAGAAAATTAGCCATTTGCCACCCTAAGTATAAATGAAAAATGGAAGAAGGAAGTGGAGACATTACATATGGGTATGGTGAAAGTGGTCTTTGGATCCCAGGAAGTGATCCTGCCTTAACTTCAGGTTTGGGTACTGAATTTACTTCAGGAACAGGCTCTGCTGCTGCATCTACTTTGGACTCAGAGACTGTATCAGGAGAGGCTTCTGCTTTCTGCACAGTGCTAGAAGCAGGTGCTGGTTCCGGCGTCGCCTCTGTTGGTGCAGGAAGAGCCTTACTATCTGTGGAGGTTGGGAGAAGAGCCTTTCCAATTTGCTAATGTTACCACCCAGTCAAGAAGAATGAAGGGACATGAAAAAGGAAAAACACAAGTTCCACTTCAGGCAACTGTTAGAAAGATATATACAGTGAAACATTCCAAGATCTGCCACGCTGTTGTTATAGTTCACATTATCAGGGCACAAATATGTTGCACTAATACTTCAAAATAGTAGACGTGCTTGCATTGAACACGTATTAGCTATGACAGGCATACTAGATTTTGCAATACATGAAATATATTTTAATAGCTATATATTTGACATTTTTATCCAGAATGCTCCAAAACAGCTCGTGAACAGAACTTACTGAAAACCTTAATGATATGAATAAAGATGAAGATTGATGTTGGATACACACCCCTCTCATACCCATGTCAACGCAACATATTGAGAAAAATATCAAGTACCGTTATCTCATCTACAAGCTCCTTTGGGGCAATCTTTGTATTCAAGAACTCATCAACTTGTTTCAGGGTTCTCTTTCGATCCTGCCATGAAGCAACAAAAAAGAGAGGAAAGAATATTTACCCGAAGTAAGCCATAAGAAATTAATAATAAACAAGGAACAAAGGCCCTCAAGCAAATTCATGAGGCGTGGAGCTTCACTAAATGGTAAATTCCACCTGCTTCATCACCATGTATGAAAAACCAAGGACGTGCTTAGTGAACATAAGAAACCCCAAATGGACCAAGACTTATGCACCAGGGAAAAGGTTTTCCATCTTGAGCAACAGAAAAATATTGGGAGAACGAAGTCCCAGGACATTAAATTAATGACAGTTAAGTTGACAAATTCTTTTTTTTTTTTTTGAAAAATAAGTTGAAAATACCAATCCAGATAATTATATATTCAGGAGTTTCAATTGTAAATAAGTAGTTAAGTATCAAATGTAACTCTTAAATTGTAATAAAAATTTTTGTTTGTAGCTATTTAAATTGATATTTACAATTCATTTTTTAAAAAAAATTTGTCAGAATCTAACTGTCATTGATTCAACCTTTCAGGACTTGACTTTCATTCTCCCAAAAATATTGACCATGAGAGTCCAGAGAAAATAAAATCATCTGTGGAAATACCAGGCATGCATGCCATTCAATATTGAAAATAGCATGACATTGAACATCTATTGGACCATCAGAACATACAAACATTCCTCCCTTTCTCATGATCTAAATTCCAAATCATACGGCTAAGAAATTTTACTTCCACAATCTTGAGCGGATCATTATGCAACAATTAAAATTGCAGGACTGCGAATCCTGGACATTCTTCTTCTTCTTCTTTTTTCTTTTCACCAATAGAGGGAGGAGTTTTTAATATCAATATCCCTTGTGCTCCTACTGTCTCTTTTTCTCCCCTTTATACATGTATACAGACATATTCATAGTTATCCATTGCTTTAGGAATACCTATTTCAGGTTTTGCCCCAATTCAGGAGCAGAAATCATACTAACCTCAGCAAATAGAAGCTTCTTGGTTGCAAACTGAACAATTGCAGCAGAACCTACAAGTTGGAGAATTGTTTCTATCTACAAAAACAGAGTAGAACCATCAACAATTCATTTATCATCAGAGAGTCATGCCAAATCAGAAAGTACTAATCATACTAACCTCTGTAAAAGCTAACAGCCCCAATCCAGTAGCTGCAGCAATCCCAAGAGTAAGAGCCAAGCCATCAGAGGTCTCCTATAATAATAAATCTTCATCAGAAACTCACAGAAATACTAAAGACAGGGACCATGAAAATGGTCAAATAACAGGAAAATTTTGAGAGAAAAAAATGGATTTGTTAGAAAAATGTGTTTAATTGTTGCCTTAAGTTATGAATATGTATACTGGTAATTAATTTGAAAGCTAAAAATATTTTGTGGGTGCATCAGCATAATGTTTTTTTTTTTTTTTTTTTTGGGCCCAAGATCAGCATAAAAAATTTCACAATTATAAAACCAAAGAAATTTTAAGATGCATACTCCTATTGCACCAGTGATAGACTCTGTAAAATTGCTAAGATCCAAACTCAATGCTTTCCTTGGTGGTGTCCAGGGAAGACCACTTTTCTGCAGAATTTCAATACATGTCAGAAAATGAATGAGCCAAAAAGAGAAATAGATACAATTGCGATAAACGTTAAGCGAATAGAAATGGGAAGGAACAAGATACCATCCATCCCCGTGGTCCTTCTGCACCATCCTTAATTGCATAAGCAGCTTTGAATCCATTGACTGTGACCAACTCTGCAACCAATTCGGAGTTCCCATCAAATCTGGCTTCCATCACAAGTACATTCTATCAGCTTCAGGCGCACATTTTTTGTATTCCATGGTGATCATTTAAACCTAAACTTAACATATTTCATCAAACCGAGCAAATGGTGTTCTA